AGGAAACACTCAACAAAATAAAGATGGATTGCTTTAACTGCTTCATTTCAGCGTAGGCACACATAGTAGGCGCAGTTCGGCTTCGTGGGGGCACCGCATAAAACTCAGCAAAGTTTGTACAGGCCGCTTTGTGCTCACTCGTATCAGACCTGTTGGTTCACAGAAGCTAAACAAATGCACAGGCGATCTAGCAAATGTCTTCCGCCCAAGCCGAATTTCTCCCACATAGTATTCATATTGACCTTGTAAAATCAATGCACTCTTAGTATCTGGATGATATTTTCTTGTTACACGACCAGGCCGCACTTTTTAAACTCTTTTGCGACTATTTTCTATACGCATGGTACTTGATGAACTTTGATGATTGAAAAATAACAAACACGACATTTTTAATGTAAATCGGCTTGAATAAATGTTTTCAGTAATCTTGTTGCCTTTTTATTAACTCAGCACTGGTCTGCAACTTGTTACAGTTTCTGCGGTGATCTTTGCGTCTTGGAGTACAGGGCACGGAAAACAGGGTTTAATGGCGTGGATCCCATCAGACAGAGTGCACTTGAAATGCGGAGCCTCTAGCTGTTGCGCTATTATGTTGAAGATGTTGGATGCATCTGCACCACCGCTAAATATAGCTCTGGACGCCATGGCAAAAAAAACTTATTGAAGGCCACTTAAGACAAACCTATGCCGACCGAGTGCCCTAAGAGCAGACGCCAGGGAAGAAGTTAAGGGTAGGGTACAAAAATGGTAAGAAGCACTAGCAGAAAATGTTAGAACAATCTTCGGCAGAACGTTGGAAAAACCGAGTTTTTGACCTGCGAACAATGCACCGAACCTACGGTAGATTGCCGCCGGAAATCCCTGTGAGGAGTCAGATTGTCAATTGCACGAATGGTAGAGCTGAATTCCATGCGGAATCGTTGTAGAGCAGGTTCAAAATCAGCGAAATCACGAATAACCTGCAAAGAAAAGGTTTTCCAGTCGGCACCAGGGAAGCATTCAAAGAGTTTACAAATTTCTCAGAGCACGCTGTAAAATATAGAAGAAATTGAGTAAACAAATATGAGCAATTTTAGCGAATAGGTCCTCATGAAAATGGTGGCGACACCTCTTCCCTTTGCGGCCGCGGTCTTGGGAACTCTGTTCTCCTTCCTCTTTTCTTCCTCCTTCTTGGGGATGTGGAAAGCCACATCTAGTCGTGGCGGTGCACCGAAGTGATAGTTGCAAGTGGGATGACTTACGCTGCATTCGTCCGAGGACCCAATCCACTCAACGTAGCAGTGCTGGCTGCGTCTCAGGGCACTTGTCAACTGCGAATCCTCTCTTCTCCCTCCTTTTTTCTTTCTCCTTCAGAGAGACTAGTCGATTCGAGAATCTTGTGACATGCTGTGAGCTTTTTCTTCTTCTCCCAGGACACCTATGGGATCTAACGAGATTAAATCACGTACCTCAACACTCCTTGTAAATGGATCGTACACGACTGCAAACGGACGCTCGAAAGAACGTGCGTACTCTCTGGAATACGGTATCTTTCACGTTCACAGAAATAGAAACAAAAGCTCGCAGTCTAGTACTACGCGGACGCTGAGGCGTTCCAGTCAGGGAGTGAGGCTGCAGTGGCGCCCGTCTAAACCCTACTAATTGTGGAAGTTGGCAGGCGACCAGTTGGCGGAGTACAGGATAGCGCCGCGCCATTCCCAGCCATAATGAAACGCCCCAGTGTCCGCAGAGAACAAGACGGAAAATAGAGGCAGCATAAGCCCCTACCCCCTGGAGATTCAAACGAAGACGACGAAGACGCAGTACCAATTGCATGAGTGAAGCATTACGTTCTCACAATGTTGGCGCTGCGACAGCGGCTTGCGTTGCGGTGCGTTTCATTTCCACTAAGACCTAACTGATTCAGTTGCTTCACAGCGAGCCTGACACATAGGGAATACTAGCCGGTTCACATACCGTGCAACATGGATGTAGTGACTCTTCACGTTTTCGCGCGATAGTGCTCTTCAGCAAACAATGTGCGCGGAATCATCAAGCAGCCGTACCTTTTCGACATGGCATGACTGTGTGTCCACGAACGCGGCATTCTGTACGTATTAGCCGCTGTCACTTCACGGAAGGTGTAGTGGTTTGCGTTCCCAGTCCCGCTGTGCATTCTCCATGGTTTCTATATAAATCAGTGGATCCTGTTCACCTGAGCTTCGACAGCGCGTCTTCAATGCTCTGAGCGACGAAGTATAACGGTTGATAGTCGCTGTCCTGGATGGCCGGGTCGAAATCACGATGTTCAGGTTTGTCTGAGCAGGCATGCTGAAACAAGTAAGGCCGTTTGCTGCATACGCTCCTCATGGGCATGAACCTCTCTGACCATCAGCTCTCCATAAGCAGAAAGCAATCCAGCACCAATCGCTTTCAACTGTCCACCTTCTCGACACAAACCGAACTCAATGATGAACCAGTAGACCTGAAAACTCTTGTTTTCTTGAGGGAATGTAAAAACCAACGTCAGAAATACTCACAGTGGCCAGTTTTTCAATTTGTTCGTCGGTAGCGCCCAGGCTCATCAGACCGATATCCTGGAACATAGTAGGTGCTGGCAATACCATCGCTCACAAACTTTCACCCACAGAAACACACCTGACTCATTTGCGCCACCAAGGGATCAGCGAACATTGGTACGTGTCCAAGAAGCTCATGAATCAAGTCCGGCTCAGGTGAATGATGTGGTTTGCTACCATGTCGTAGGTAGGTGGTGGTCTGTGAAGAACTCGTGTCAGCAAAAAAACTACTCCGATTTTGAAATGGTTCGGGACTGCACCCAGTTCGTTTGGTGCATATTAAGGTTCAGACTGAATCTGGAGAGGAAATAAATCGACGTTTGGATAGAATAGTGGAGACCAGCAGGCTCTGTGGTGCCGCAGCGCTAGCTACGTTAGCACGTTGCAGCTTTCTTGCAGTGACCACTCATTAAAATCAGGCAAAGAATGGTGAAGACAACTAACGTAGTTGGGTAGTTGGATGGTTGAGGGGGGCTGGGAGTACGAAGGAGTACGCACTAGGCAAGGGTGTTGCTGCGGCCTGGTTCGTGCGTTAACCCTCCCCCCTCCCTTCTCCGTCCATCAAGGTGGAGTCTGCGGAAGCTGGGGGTTTTAGAGTGGCCGGATTTAGTTTGGTCCCAGTCAATCCCTCTCTCCTGTTACTGAAGTGGGGCAAGCAACAGCAAAAGGTGAAGAACTTGGCGCCGAATCCAGCCGTTGACATGCCTGAGCATTCACAGCGATCAAAACGTCAAGGGGCAGTGAACTGATTTCGAGTGCGAGAGCTGTCACAGTTGCGCTTATTGGTCCTTCTACGCTTCTGACCATCCCGAAGGAATGGAAGGTTCGCTACTAGACCGACATGTGGTTCAGGACTCTCAGACTATGTGAGGCGTTGTCTCATTTCCGCAAAATACTTACCTGGAACACCCGAAACGCTAGACTGGCCAGAAAATCCCGTGCAGATAGCAAGCCACTACACGGCCGAAGAATGAAACCAGTTTTCTCTGAAAAGTCATCGTTCCGTTGGAAACCGTTTTGCAGCTGAAGACTCTGCTTACTCTGGAGATACTTATTAACGTCTCTTATTTGTGGAATCTTATTCGGCGATAGAACACCTTCGTCTTCCAAAAGTTTGAGATTTTTCCTGAAAAAAAGCTAGTTTCAGAGGATTCCCAATATTGGAAGGGGAAAGTGTGTTCTCAATACGCTTCATGTCAGATTCTTGCGCGATGCGGCGACATCTGCGTGGAGAACCTTGTATGCATCCTTCTTAGAACGGGATCCTGAGTCCTTCTTAGACGGGATCCTGAGTTCCAATCCTCCCTCCCCCTCACCCAGTCCTGTTTGTAACGTTTTTGCCAAAGAAGTGCTTGCTACGAAATTGACAGGCATCATTTCGTGAACAATTCCTTAGGGTAGAGCCCACGCTGGTGGCATGAGAAGAGCCATCTATTGAACCTTCCACATTTCGCCCGTCCCGACGTTAAGAAGTGGAGCGCGAGCGAGGAAAGCAAAGTTAGGCCCATTTCCGCCCACATGACCAGCGCGGACTTCGCCACTACTGATGGAATATTAACTGCATATTCTTTACTCGGCTAATCTAACCTGTAGGTATAGCAAGCGTGTGATTCACGTAGATTTCGGAGTTTTTCATAGACAACTCTCCATGTTTCATGTTCTTCTTTCGAATAGTCCACATATGGAATAGGTTCGCCGCTAAATACCGTGATCACAGACCATTACAACGCCCCATAATGGTTTGGTGAAACAAACATCGAAATAAGCTCGAAGGCTGCGTCAACGGAACTTCCGCCCGATTTTTGTCTTCAAAATCAGTGTGCTGGCCAATAAAGGCACATGGGCGCTGTTCGTCTTGGGAGGGCATTTCGCACCTTTGCGAGCTACTTTTGCTAGTTCATGCTAACCATCACGTCCCATTCGGTAAGTTGTAATATCAACTTGTAAAGATCGAGAAGCTTCGGAATGATGAAAGTGATCCCCTTTAGTTACAAGAATTTACAGTATTTCATAAGGTGGCCGGGCAGGCCTCGCTGAGTATTGCTCGATGCCCCGCCCCGTCCAACAAAAAAAACAAAAGCAGCCGTTGGAGAGCATTCCCTCCATGAAATTCTGACTTAGATCCCGGAAGCATTGCATGTGATTCGAAAACTTCTCTAAGGTAAGCATTTCAGTCAAGGGAAAGCAAAGATTCCCGTTGACGCTGCCTCAAACTTTCGATCAGAAGAGTAAACTATTTACTGTCTGTATTCCATCGCCTGATCGTTCAAGAACTTTCTCCTTGCGATGTATGCTGCATCACCGTGACCCTGAACACGAATCGAAATGTGATGGATGTGATGTGCTGTTTGGCTGGGGAGCGGAGAAAATCCCTTGTATTGCGCGAAAATTACGCTTGGACATGACAACGTCAGGGGGTGGCGTGTGCTGTGGATTCCTCAACGGAAGAAATGTCGTATCTACTTGGAAGAGCGTTGAAAACAGATCTGTTAATTGACTCCCGTACAACACATGCAGAAGGCGGTGCCACTTGCTGACTACATCACCCTGTTTTCATTCCTTATAAGATAGCATTCGGACTGCTCGAAGAAGCAGGAGAGGGGGCCGCATTTTTTCTTCGGAAGGCCTCATTTTTCGCATTTCTGCCTATTTACCCACCGGGATACTGTGCTTTGGCCTGAAGACAGATGTGTTACAGAACTCAGTCTACTTAATCTAAAGACTTAACTATGGAAGGGATGTGCAGTACAGATGCCAAGAGGAAGGCATGTGAAGCACAGATGGTGAGAGATACAAAATGGGGGAGGGGGTAATATGCGTAATTTCCCTTATAAATATTCACCCTACATACTACTGCTGGCCAATATTGAAATTTTCCGGATGTTAGACTCTCAAAAAGGTAAAAAAGTGGAGAACTGACAACATTTCAAACCTGGTGTTGCCCCTGCTTTCTCATTTGTTTTTCATCAGCTGCTGAAATTTCAAGACAACGACACGTCCCCCGCTCATTTGGCGCGCAAACGCCGTCCTTGTTCAAAGGATTCGGTGCGCAAGCACTGGGAATGTTCCACTTCCGCGGCTCAGAAATACGCGCTGACGGCGCCATCCAATGATGACGGAGGCAATGTTCCGCCCTTTCATCATGCCACATTCACCGTTCATTTCTAAAGGCGTCCTGGTGATGCGGTTGTTCCGCTGCTGAGCCCTTCCTTTACAAAAGCTGAGAGTGAAGTGACAAGAGGAAGCGCTGATCTCGGCACGATATCAACACGAGAGAACTCTTCCAAGCATGAGCTCTCTTCAACCGGCAGGGTTTCTACCCAGAGCTCTCGCATAGGTATTTTACCTCTTCTATCCAGCGGCTTACTACTGTGTCACTGATATCTAAGCTCCACACCCCACCATTTCTTATGGCGAGGCGTGCACCTAAAAGCAAATGTGAGACGCTTTTTTGAAAGAGGTTCTGGCCCGTAGGCACAGGGAATGTACAACATCCGTATTTCAAGGATATGCAATAAGGACGCAAAGTTCTTGTAACGAAGCTGAGGGTCCATCCACTGGTCCGCTACTAACTCGTTTCACAGTGAGAGTGGCATGAAAGAGCTGATGTTATCCAGATATGAGCAGTTGAGAGCTCGTCCAAGCACGCCCTTCAGGAGGTTCCATCTGGGGCATTAGGGCGGTCAAGACAGGGATCACTCTTCTGATGTGATGACGCCACTTTTCCGACTGAATGCCTGGTTCTTGATGGATTCCTCCTATTTTCAAGTCTTTATGCTTCGAGGCGGTGTGTACTCCCGCCAGTACACGAAAAAGCTCCTCTTTTGGTCCTGTTTTCCGGGGAGTACACGCTTCTCTTCGCTCGTTTTTGATTGTTTTTTCTCTTTTTCACTAACATTTGGATACCGATAATAATACAAACAGTAGAGAAATAATATTAGCACATTCGAAGAGGCGTGTACTCTCGAAAAACATGCAGAAACTTTTCCTTGGGCTTTCGTGAACTCCCATGGGTGCAAGCGACTTTCGCTCGCCTTCTTGTGATTTTCCCCTTTTCACTAGAAACTCTATGAAAAATCCTACTATATATAAACGGCAACTGTCTGTCTGTCTGTTCTGTCTGTCTGTCTGTCTGTCCGGAAATTCGGAATCACCTGAAGAGCCAGTTGGAGGGGCGGGTCAAGGGGGTTGGGTAGGGCATGGGCCAAGATGTACGGAACACACATGAATAAGCTAGGCCTCCGCCCACTGTGTGGGCGGGGCGTGCGCACAGTTGTGAGCTACTAATTTCAAAAATTCATAGCTTGGTTCCAAAAGAGCCCCAAGAGCGGAAAAAAGTGGCAAACGATAGGCAATCGGTTGGCGGTCGAAATGAGTGAGACACACCCATTTTGGGCGGGGCGTTCCATAGGTGGGCGGTGCTTGCCACAAAACATTCAAAAATTCGTAACTCGGTTCCAAATGAGCCCGGAGAGTGGAAAATGTGGCAAATGATAGGCAATCTATTGGCGGATGAAATGAGTGAGACATGCCCACTTTGGGCGGGGTGTCCATAGGTGGGCGGTGCTTGCCACAAAAAACTTTCAATTTGTAACTCGGTTCCAAATGAGCTCGGAGAGTGGGAGAAGTGGCAAATGATAGGCAATCAGTTGGCGGACGAAATCAGTGAAGCACACCCCTGACGGGCGGGGCGTTCGCCGAAGTGAACGGTGCCGAGGGCAAAAATCCTCAAAACGCATACGAAAACCCACACAAAATGGGGAGTAAGGTGAAACTGACTGAATGGTCGGGCAGATCGAATTTAGTGAGAGTATACCCTACATAGTGTACCAATATGTTGAAACGTCGCAATAGCTTAATTCTGCGATTCCTCATCACTGAGGGGAGTGTCGCATAGAGAATGTTGACGGCTGCCTTCTATGGGGGAGGGGGGGCGATCCGACTGGCCCTCCACTCCTGGAAAAACTTGCTCACCTAGGACCGCAATTCACACGCGGAAGGAGGATCGTTCTCACCGGGAGAGCCGGCCGATAAGACTGGTAATGCAAATAATACGCAGATATTATCACCAATATCTATTGTGTAATTTTCAGAAAAAGTTGCTCCTGATGAAAAGGTGTTTCGGAAAACCTCGCTATTTGAATCAGCCTCTTCACCGAAATCAGCTTATTTAAAAGTGAAAAGGGGGAAAATTTCGAGTGAAATGGGAGAAGAATTACAAGAAAACCCCATCTGGAAAAGTTGAGAGGCAATTATGTGCGTTTTATTTGCATTATCATTTGTACATATGTATCTGATAACGTCGTTTCCGCTCAATTCCAGTCATCCTCAGAAAGTACAAAATCCACAATACTCACCAAAAAATTGCATGTGTCCAAAGAGAGGATTGTGAAAAAAAATGTCAAAAAAACTGAAATGGAGGAGAGTTTTGTCGAAATCAAAGCCGACGGAAGGGTTCTGCGGAAAGTTATATTCAGCCGCCGCGAGCGGGCGCCGCTCGACAATCGGGAGTTTTTGGCGAAACGGCGTCGCAGCGAACGTGTTAAGAACTCCTACAACCGCAAGTTTACTTTCGAGGCTATGATATTTCCTTCTCTCTTGAGGAATATTGCTCATATTTGGCATTAGAAACCGGCAAAAAACACTTTGGTCTTTTGGCCCGATCGTCATGGTCACATATTGCCGACATTCTCCTTTTGCTCGACTTTCATTAATACCAGAGCCCATCAGCACTGCGATATTCATTCATGATGTCGTCCATTCTATACAACCCTCTTGTTTTCAACTGTTAAATCAAAAATAAGACAGATATAATCAGTTCACAGACCTCGAAAGGGGGTATATCAGCCACTGACCCTCTATGTCTTTGTGATGCTGCCAGTTGATCATTAGAGTTCTCGTCGCATTTCTCCTTCAATTATGTTATAGCTATTCCATTTTAAAAGCTGTAATTCCCGAAATCAGTGTCGGCTTTTCAGATGAGCTTAGGAGAAATGTCCATGACGAAAGCGCTTTGCTGCTCCATGGATAATTTGAGTAGAGTGCTTGGTAGAATTCTACGAATCCCATTCGACACATACATTTCTTCTGCCTTGCAGAGGAAGTGAAGGTGCAGAATTGGCTGAATTGTGTGAGTGCCAAACGACAATAAGAATTAGCGATTAAAGTGGGAAAGTAAGCTTGATAACTGGCGGAGATTGAGTCCCTTCCTAGCTCAGAAGTAGGCAAAGCTTCGGATGACGTGCGCCGTCCGGTCGTAGGCTCTGGTATTTTGTAGATAAAGCAATGAGAGCAGAAAGTCTCAAGTCAGACATGGCCCGCGAAAACCGCATGCGAACTGCAAACGAACGATGTCTAGAAACCAAGGTGCAACGATGGTCTTGATCTTACGGCTCACATTGTTCCTCACCTTCTACCACTTCATCTTTACGATAAGAGGGCGATACCAGTAAGGTGATCGAAATTCTGAACGAGATCTGCAGCAGCGGCGATCAGCTCTTCTTTGGTGGCATCACAATCGGCCAGTAGATCCCATCCTGTTCAAATAAGCTATTGCGAGGAGTTACGGGTAGGGCCAGGAAGTTTGAGTTGCGGCAGCATGACCGAAATCGTTGCAAGCATGTCTGACGACCGACACTCATAACATGAGGCGCAATGAGAAAGAATCATGACGCCACAGCGATGCAAAGCGGGTAGTATAACTAGTGTTCTGTAGGGCATCCGTGGGAAGTTAATGGAACTCACTGCCGCGACCAGGGGAATCATTGATTTTTGGACTTTCTTTTGCTACAGCTCATGGTGACTGTGTTGACGAGAGCTGTCAAGCATTGTGCATTCCTCATCAGTTCAGTTCCTATTTACTGTGCTCGAAGTAGAGGAGCACCAATGAGGAAGGCACGTCGGTGTTGACTGTCTCCACCCACATGTACAGCGTTTACTGTGCCCCCAAAAATCTCATAGACCTGGCTGTATGGGCATCCTATTGTTCTATTCTAGAGTGATCTATATGCTAAGTCTCTTATGCGCTGCCTTGTTCGCTGCTTGGGTGTGACAGGACGCCAGTCCCTGTAAGGCTGCGTTTATACTTTGCGGCAGCGTAGCGTAGCGCTTCCAGCGTACGCCAGCGGCAGTGCCGGGGAGAGGATAGATATCGATCTAGCGTTCCCAGCGCTAGATCGATATTACCCTTTTCCCGACACTCCGCTAGCGCTTGCAGCGACGGGGCTAGAGAGGGGCTAGAGAGTATAGAAGAGTAGGAGAGTATTTTGTACTCTCCTACTCTTCAATACTCTCTAGCCCCTCTCTAGCCCCGTCGCTGCAAGCGCTAGCGAAACGCTAGTGAAACGCTGGGAGCGCTAGATCGATAGCTATGCTTCCCGTGCCCTCGCTACGCTAGCGTACGCTGGTGACGCTGGGAACGCTAGATCGATATCTATCCTTTCCCCGACACTGCCGCTGGCGTACGCTGGAAGCGCTACGCTACGCTGCCGCAAAGTATAAACGCAGCCTAAAGTGCGCCTTGCAAAACCCAGCCGCATCCCCCTCGCACGTGCCAGCATCCGCAGCGAGTAAATCTGTACGAAAATTTCCCTGCACGGCCGTATAACGCGATGTCCCTCCATCTGCTATCGGAAAAAAAGAACAAAAGTTAAACCTTGTCCAGACTTCTCCTTCCTCGTTTCCATGTGACTCATGTGAATTCCTTTTGAACCAAAGGCTTTAACGACGGCTCCAATAAACGGTGATAGTTCTCCTGGATAGCAATGCATGAGAAGAAAATGCTATAGTTCGAGAAAGCCTTCTTGAAGGTGTAGCTCACGCTGATCTATTTCAACGGGATCAGGCCTCCTATTGTATTTACTTCACTGGCGCCCGCCCTCTCCCCCTTAACGAAATTGAAGGGGATGGGTTTACTCACGGTTTCATCTTCAACTCAGCCCTTTTGATCGCGTCACTTTTGTTCTTTCTCCTGCATTTTCTCGTCTGCTCGAGATTCAGTGGCTGACTTTCCCGGATTCTCTCAAGGAATCATGCCCTGGCTTGTTACATGTTTTTGCACTTCCCGATGCGTCTGCACCCGCTGTTCTGTAGATGTCTGCGAACAGGATTTCGCAACATGACCATGCACAAAAGTTCAAGTTGTAAGGGTAAGAATGACTGCGCCTAAATGACTGACTGTGCGTTCAGTGAGGACAGCATTTGAAGCACCATGTTATCGTTATTTTTGAGCTTCAACCCCGCCCCTCTCTTCATATTCAAATTTCAGGCTTCTATCCGCGTTTGGAAAGAGCAAAAACGGCAAATAATTTGTTGGTACAGGCAGTTTGGCTAAATGGTTGCTAAAATTCCATTTGTTGGCTGGAAATGTGACTGCTTCACAAGAGCACTGGTACTTATAGACTGCGTACCCTGTTCAGGGTGTGCCAGACATTTCCACCAAACGGACGTCACGCCTATGTAGTTCGGACTTTACGCCAAACTCGTAGGCGAACTTCTGTACACTACCTCTACGCGTCTGAGTCACAGTTCAAAAGTGGAGCTGCTTTGAGTGAATAATCGAAAACTGATTGGAAATGCAGTAAATCGTTTGAAATAGAGTTGCGAAATTTTGGGAAAAGTTTTTCTTAAGGGCGGACTCTTCACTTTGATCATCTACGATTCGCGGGAGCACACCTATTTCGTAAAAATGTTTCGGGCATGAGTTATAGGATCTGTTACCTGAACTGTTGAGAACAGCTGTGAATGTGATACGTCCTTTGTCCGCTGCCCATATAAGATCCACACCTTCATCGTTGAGGCGTTGCAAGAT